CCAACTCCAGCTCAATGCACTGTACCATGATTGGTCATCTGAACATTACCGGGAGTGATTCCTGAGCACAGAGTGAGGAAAACGTCCTAGGCATAGCTGAGTGTGGCCCACTACCCCAAACCCCCAATCAGACCCAAACAACCCACAGTAATCTCTCACTGCACATGAACTTGATGTCGAGACATACATGCAAAACCCAAGCTATAAAAATTTCAGAAGAAAACATAGATTTTTTTCAGAAGAAAACATAGATTCTCTGCCTATAAATTTAGAAGAGATCTTTTAGGAACAAAATATATAAACCAGGGAATTTTATTAACAAACACTGACAACAAACAAACACTATCCTCCCGTTGTTCATCGATTTGCTCGAGTGGGTCCAGTAACGTCTCCATTTTGAGACTTGTTGTTACTGTGTTTGGCATATTGAATACATCATGGATAGCTTGCCAGGCTTTGCTGTGTGGATAGCTTGCCGGGCTCTCTGAGAGGGGCAGAAGAATCTAACGCGGCTCGGACGGGCTGTTTGTGTTTAAGGCAAACGCTCTACCGCTGTGCTATTGTGCCAGCCCATAAGTAACAAGAAGTCTCACAATTATTTACAAACTTCATCAAAATTTAAAACTTCTACTTGGGAGACATGGCTCTAGGTGCTGAAGCACAGCATTGCTACTGCAGGAAGCAGCTCTGAGGATCCTCAGGGTTTCGGGGCTGAAGCAACACAGACACCATCACTGTCCTGAGAGATGAGTTGTCAGATTTGTATAACTGAGCCAAATAATTCAGGGTGAGGGCCCAGGATTCCTAGATTATTTTTTGGGAAGCCCCTCCTACCACTCCCAATTTTTTTCCTTCCTTCCTTTGAAAGTGGCAATTCAATATATATATATATATATATATATATATATATAAAATAAAATAAGATATTTGTGAAGAGATATTTTATAAAGACTGTTTAGCTTCAGTATTTACAGAATTTAAAGAATTAAATTAATTTTTGGGTCAGAGTTATAGTACAGCAGTCAGGGTTCTTGACTTGCATGTGACCAACTGGGCTTTGATCCTTGGCACCCCATAGGATCTCCCAAATATGCCAGGACTGACCTCTGAGCACAGAAGCAGGAGAAAGCCCCGAGAATAGCTGGGCATGCTTCCAAAATAAAACAAATCAAATTTAAATAATTCCACATCAAAGAATTATAGGTCAACAATGTGATCCTAGTGTTAATAAGTTCTGATAACTTATTATCAGGATAACTTATTATTATCAGAGCTGGAGCAATAGCACAGCAGGTAGGGCGTTTGCCTTGCACGCAGCAAACCCGTGTTTGATTTTTTCGTCCCTCTCGAAGAGCCCGGCAAGCTACCGAGAGTATCCCGCCCACACGGCAGAGCCTGGCCAGCTCCCCATGGCATATTCAATATGCCAAACACAGTAACAACAAGTCTCACAATGGAGACGTTACTGGTGCCTGCTCGAGCAAATCGATGAACTGTGGGATGACAGTGCTACAGTGCAGTTCAATCATAAAAAGACAAATCAATAAAAAATGAGGACACAAAGGACCAAAGATATAGTATAGCAGTAGAGAACTTGTCTTACATATTTGGCTGACCTGGGTTTGATCCCTAAGATCTTAGATGGTTCCTTTGGCACTGCCAGGAGTGATCCCTGAGCATAGGGACAAGAAAAATCCCTGAGCACTGCTAAGTGTGCCCCTCAAACAAAAATCATAAACAACAACAACAAGAAAAAACTGAACCTTTGACATAGAAACAATATGGTTGTAAATAACTATGTGGCAAGATGTCAACTGGATATTAAAATATGAATTAAAGTTAGAATTACTAGGACTATGATACTAAATCTACAGGACTAGCTAATAAAAGTAACTGGTAGCTCCAACTTCTGACGAAGACAAAAAATAAAGCTAACACTAATAAATTTCATTGTGGGAATAATTATGGAATAACTATTCTGTAAAACGGTTTATAAATTCTTGTAATATTCAATTTACGGCCACTATGGTATGCAGAGCTGTTATTAGGTGTTTACTCAATAAATGTCAAAATACATGCTTATATAATGAACCGTCTATAAAATTTGTACTGGCTTTATTCATAGTAGTCAAATCTGAAAAAGATTTAAATGCCTAACAGATGTCGAACAGATTAATTCTGGTATATCTATAAACAGAATATCACCTTTAAGGAAAAAGGTATGCAGTACTGATTCTTGAAATGGCATGAATAAATCTCAGAACCACTGTGTTAAGTAACAAAGAAGTCAGACACGAATTATGTTATTGAACTATGGAAATGAAAATCAGGCCAGCGAATGGGCTGGGAAAAATTTTGGGAATGATGGCAAGAGTGAATAACTGGATGATTATATATATTTGTTCAAAGTACAGTGCCATGCTGCTGAAAATGAATTTTATGTCATAGGACCTAACTTTAAAATTATTATGTCAAATTTTCCTGAACTTCCAAACTGTGTAATTCTTTTATTGTTAGATATTTAAAAAAAAATTGGAGAGGGCACTTTTGGGCACATATGACAGTGCTCAGGGATTACTCCTGGCTCTGCACTAAGAGATTACTCCTGTGGTACTCAGAGGACCTGATGGGGTACTGGGGATTGAATCAAGATTGCCCATGTGCAAAGCAAGAAACCTCTCTCCCTATTATCTCTGCATTCCCTAGAAAATTTTTGATGAAAAAAGGTCACATTTATTTATCTTTTCAAACGCTATACATATGAAAACAATTCAGAGACATGGCGTATGTTTATTTTTATGTTTAATCTTTTAAAATACATGAAAGTAATTCATACAGCCAAGAAAACTACAAAACTTAAGCTTCTTAAAAATGTAATTTATCATCTGACTATGACTCTCAAAGTTCTTACTTTGATTCCAAAATACAATGAGCTATTAAAATTAAAGAACTAAAACAATTCATCATCTGCTCTGGATTCTGACACAGGTCAAGGACATAGCTATAGTCTTGAGATGAGGAGTAATCACCATCTATTTCTGTTGAGAAAATTGCATTTTGTAATGTGATCTAACAGTTTGGAAAACACTTCTTTTGTTGTTTCTTTTGGGGCAACACTCTGTGGTGCTCAGGGCTTACTTCTGTTTTTGTGCTCAGGATTCACTTCTGACAGACTTGAACCTTAAGGGACATCCAACCTGAGTCACTGTGTGCAGGGCAAGTGTCCTTCTCACTGCATTATCTCTCTGGCCCCTAGAAAACACGTCTTATGGGTTGGACTCACCTACCTCCATACTCAAATTTTTTGAATAGAAGAGTTTTGTCTTTCAAAGATTTTATTACTGAAATATTTCAATTTCTATTGGAACTTATATAAAGGTAAAAAGGTAAAGGCCCTCCCGTTGATCGTCGATTTGCTCGAGCGGGCCCAGTAACGTCTCCATTGGAGACTTTGTTGTTACTGTGTCTGGCATATCGAATACTCTCGGTAGCTTGCCGGGCTCTCCGAATTGGAACTTATATAGTTCACAAATAAAGAACTGTCACTGTCACTGTCCTCCCGTTGTTCATTGATTTAATCGAGCAAGTCCAGTAATGTCTCCATTGTGACGATTGTTACTGTGTCTGGTATATCGAATACGTCACGGGTAGCTTGCCAGGCTTTGCTGTGAGATACTCTCAGTAGCTTTCCGGGCTCTCCAGGAGGAGCGGAGGAATTGAACTTGGGTCAACCATGTTGACCACTTGCAAGGCAAAGGACCTACCCTCTGTGCTATCGCTCCAGCCCATGATAAAGAACAGCATCTCTAAATTTCTGTGTCCTTACTTTAAGTTCAGTTCCATCCCTTCTCAAGTACAGTCTTATGGTGCATTGATAATTCATACTTACTACTTCCTGTCCTCAATACTACTTCCTATCCTCAACACTATTGAGGACAGGAAGTAGTGAATATGAGTTTTCCTTGATGAACTTCCATAGATGAACTTCTGTTGTAGTAGATGAGCTTCTACAACAAAAGATAAAAGTGTCTTTCCAATGGGCTAATGGGCTCACATATCCTGAATTCCATCAGTGCCCATCCAGTCTCCTCAACTTCTTGTGGACAAATGGCTGAAGGATTTTTCTTAAAAATGGTCGGTGTTCAAATAATTAAAATGCCAGTCTTATTCTGACACTTATTTGCTCCCAATTTCACTAGTTCAAGTTCTTCCAAATATTACTATAACTGCTAACGACCTCTCTCGATTTTATTTCCACTTGCATAAAGTGACCTTATCATTCAGGTTTTTTAACTCATCCAATCAGTTCACTTCATGATTTCTTGACCTAACTGATTCCACATAACCTACATCACTATAATTCACCAAAAGTGGTGGTAAGCTGAGTCTCTTTCCAAGGCAACGCTCTACCAAAAACAGAAACCATAATTACTGATTATCTGATCACAGCATATTTACTTTCTGCCTTTCATCACTTGTTTGGGGGTGAAGAACATTGTTTTATGGTCCCCAAACAATAGGATCATCTTTTTAGACTTCCTTTCCCCCCTGGTATCTCGGTGTTTGAAGTCATACTCAACTTCTTTGCCACTTTTGCACTACAAACTCAGCTATTTTTAGGAACTTAATACCTTAAACTGTTGGCACTCATAGGAACTTTCCTCAGAACCTTGGTAGAAATTTCCCACCATGCTCATAAATAATAACTTTTTCTTAGTTTTCACTACTTTTCATAGTGTGTTCCCTAAATATTACTCAAAAATGATGACACAATTTATTACAAATAATTTCTTCTGTGCCAATTATGCCTTGCTACTCAACAATGCTTTTAATAATCTTTTGTTAACTATTCTGATTTGATTATTTATTTTCCATCACTCTAATAAATTGAATTTTAAATTCAGTATTTAAAATTCATTTATTATGCAAATTTCTTTTATCAGGGTACATTATTATCTAATGGAAACAAATGAAAATAAAATGCAATCACTTATACTCACTTAGAAATTGGATTGACACTGGCTTCAATAATTGTTAAACACTTACAGCACTTTATGTTTTCTGGAAATTCTTGTACACCTAAAATGTAAAAACAAAACAAAAAACAAAGAAAACAAAAGTATATAAAAATATTCCAGCAAAAATGCCCTCTAGTTCTAATATTAAGACTAATTATTTAAACTGTAAATCCACATACCATGTAAATACCATTTAGTACAAGTATTTAATAACAAATTTAATATTAGTGTCATATAAAGAGAGCATACATTAAAAGTTAAATTTTGAATACTACGATCAATATTGTTGTAAATTGGACATATAATTGAAAACAATTGTATATTTTGCAGTAAATAGATCTTAACGCACAACTAACCAAAAGAAATAAAAGTCTAAGTTATTAAGCTACAGTAGCTCAGCTACTGCTGAGTGAAGCCCTAAACCTGTAGACATAAAGTAAATGGAAGGAAACATCTTTCTTCTCTTCATGTTGCAAGACTGAGAAGATTATATACATACGTGTGAAAATGACCTAAGGAAACTTAACAGACTGACAGACAGATATTCCCCTACTAACTGGATGCAGTTCACCTGTCGGTGGCATAGACTTAGCTCTGTTTCTGCCTGTAAGTGTGAAGAGGCGGGCAGCCTGTGTGTTCCTGGGTTGTCCCTAATGTTTCTGAGCTAGCCAGCTTGGCTGATTGCCTTTGGACAATTGCTCATCTGTTGTCACATCTGTGCTGCTGGCTATGTGACAGAAGTGCATGAATTTTTCTATGAAATTGAAAATTGGTAGGCCACAAACCTCATCTATAAATGTGAAGAGTCAGAGGAATAAAAATATGAAGGACATTTCAATCAATGGATAAGAATGGAGCCAATAGCGCAAGCCTCCCTGCAAACGGGAGAGGTCAACGATACTCAGCCATTCCCCAGAGCCTAGAGGACTACTTACTTTAACTTTTGAAACTATTATTAAAATGTAAACATTTCAAAAAAGGACTAGTCCTGCACAGTTATTTGCATATGACAGAAAAATAGGGGATGCTTTGTTGCAGGATTTTGAGAAGTTTTATATATATATATACATATCTACATATGTATATATATATATATATATAGGCTCCATTCTTATCCATTGATTGAAATGTCCTTCATATTTTTATTCTTGCATTGATAGCACAGCAGGTAGGGTTGCTGACTGGGGTGACTGGGGTGACTGACTGGGGTGACCCGAGTTTGATTCCTCCGCCCCTTTCAGAGAGCCTGGCAAGCTATCAAGAGTATCTCACCTGCATGGGAAAGCCTGGCAAGCTCCCCGTGACGTATTCAATATGCCAAACACAGTAACAACAAGTCTCACAATGGAGACGGTACTGGTGCCCGCTCGAGCAAATCGATGAACAACAGGAGGACAGCGCTATTATACTCAAGAAAGATAACCTATATTCCTAGATTTAGTTGACCTAGCCAACCACATTCATACAGTCTCAAAGCCCAGGGGAGCAGCAGGAGATTAGCCAGATCTGACACAGGTCGTTAGCCACTGACAAGGGCATGAAAGAAGAAAAAGGATGTTTTTCACCCCACTTCTTACATACTTCTTTATTAGAAATGTTGCTGTTCTAATGTTGTTGCTGAAGTATTTTGGCTTCTTAATAAGAACCTAAGGAAGTTTAGGAATCGTATTATGTGTGAAAGAGTCTTCTCTTTTTTGGAACAATTGTAAAATAATTAGCCTTGCCCTCAATAACTAGATGTTAACAAGATGGTGAGGAAGTCAGTTGATCCTTGAGCAATACTCAACATTTCCCCTTGGCAGTCTTATTTATTTGGAATGTGTGCAGTCAAAGGGTCAAGACTCCTCTCCTGTTAACTGTTCATTCATCAATTTGTTTACTCATCAATATGGATCCATTTTGTACTGGGGAGCCTGATGCTTTATCTCTACAGGTTCTACTTTGGGATAATTTTTCCTTAATTTTTCTATCTATGTGCAATATACATATAGCACTGTAGCACTGTCCTCCCGTTGTTCATAGTTTTGCTCGAGTGGGCACCAGTAATGTCTCCATTGTGAGACTTATTGTTACTGTGTTTGGCATGTTGAATACGTCACGGGGAGCTTGCCAGGCTCTGCTGTGCGGGCAGGATACTCTTGGTAGCTTGCCTGGCTTTCCAAGAGGGACAAAAGAATTGAACCCATGTCGGCTGCATGCAAGGCAAACACCCTACCCACTGTGCTATCGTTCCAGCCCACAATATACATATAAAACACAATATTTTAAGAAAAAAGCAGAACATTCCACAATTGTTATAACAAAGCAGAGAATTCTACTGTCAGTTGAAGGTAAGCACTCTTTCCTTAAAATTACATTTTAATTTGCTTCTACTTTCTGATCTGATGTGTGTGTGTGTGTGCATTTGTGTGTGTATGTGTGTATATGTGTGCGCCTGCCTACCTTCAACTGAAAGTAGAATTCTCTAGTGTAGCAAAATGCTCTATTTTGTCATAAAACATTGTGTTTTATTATTTATTGTTCAAACAAAATTGTTCAGAGCAAAGTTGACTGGATTAAGATGAAATGCCAACTTAACTCTATGCTCAGTGACTCAGTTGCCTATTCTGAAAAATGATGATGAAATGAATGGTTCAACAGAGAACTGTTGTAAATATTGGGCTAGATTAGAGTAATTGGCATAAAGTGTTATGTAAATGCTACTATAATTATTAGAAAAAATAAGCGAAGCATGTCAGTCAATAAAAGACCTAAAGAACATGTCAAAATGTGCTGCTTGAGGTATAAATTAACAATAGCTGTCTAAGAACATACAAAAGGAATTAATGTGTTGGAAGAATATACAAATATATATTCAATATCTCAATATATATTCAATACAATAGTTCAGAAATGCTCTGCAGATGGAAAACAAATGATGAATGCATGCAATATAAATAGATGAATTATGTGATTGATGTTAAACAGTAATTTTATAGTATTTCTGAATTTTCATGACTACCTTTTAAAAATTAAATTTAAACATATTGGAAAAATGAATTTTTAAGTCACTTTATTGCATTTATATATCTGTACATATATATATATTTAATCCCAGACTTTAGTAAGGTTTTTAAAAAATTATAGTTAAATCTAAACACAGAGAGGTAATATACACTTAATGAGAAGCTCAGGATGTAAGGTGACTGAATCAGTTGTCATTTAATTAGTCATATAACCTTAAACAGATATTAAAATAACTGAGCATCACTTCATCACTGAGCATCAGTGACATTGGCAACTATCACCGATCTGCCTGTTGTCTGTCATCTACAAGCTGTTCACTAAAGTCATCCTGAATAGGATTGGCAGAACACTAGATGAAGGACAACCAGGCAAGCAAGCCGGGTTCTGAAAAGGATTCAGCACGATCGGCCATATCCACACGATAACCAAGCTCATTGAGGTTTCTCAGGAGTTAAAGATGCCGCTCTATCTAATGTTCATTGATTTAAAGAAGGCCTTTGATTCTGTTGAGATAGAAGCAGTCATCGAAGCCCTATAGCCAAATAGGGCGTTCAAACTCAATACATCAGGATCCTCTGTGAGCTGTATTATAGATTCACTACCAGAATCTCACCATTCTACAAGGAAGTGATCATCCATGTGAAGAGAGGGGTTCAGCAGCGTGATACCATTTCACCAGAACTCTTCAGTGTCACCCTTGAGAAAGTCATGCAACAACTGGAATGGGAAGGAATGGGAGTAAAGATAGACGGCCGGCAACACACCACCTCTGCTTTGCTGATGACATCGTTCTAATAACACCAAACATAGCCAAGCGGCACAAATGATGGCCGACTTCGACTGTGTGTATGGAAAGGTCAGAGTACAGCTGAGTCTCACGAAGACAATGTTTATGAGAAACAGCCTCGTTCCTGATGTCCCATTCGCTCTCAATGAACGAACATCTCCGAATGCAACAGTTATGTGTAACTAGGTCAAGAAGTCAACATGACAAATGACCTGGCACCTGAGTTGCGCAGGAGGAAGAGAGCGGCTTGGAATGCCTTCAAGAGAGTCAAGAAATAGTTAAGAGGACAAAGAACCTCCGGCTCTGGACACATCTCTTTGATTCCACTGTTCTTCCTGCATTAACATATGCCTCAGAGACCTGGGCCCTACACAAAAAGGATAAGAATGCTATTCAGGTCTCCCAAAGAGGAATCAAAAGAGCTATGCTTGGAGTATCACACTTCACTCAAATGAGAGAAAGAATCCAGAGTTCTGACTTCAATCGATGATCAAGAATCAGAGATGCTGTCTTGTTTGCCAAGGCATCAAAAATCAGATGGGCTGGATACGTAATGAAATTTGGAGATGACTACTGGACTAGAGCCATTACCGACTGGATTCCATGGGAAGTGAAAAGATCGTGTGGTCGCCCACCTACAAGATGGTCAGACTTCTTTGTCAAGACCCTGAACGATCGGTTTGAGGCTCTTCATGTTCCTAGAAAGAGCAGACACCATTGGGCTACACTAGCACGCGACAGGGATAAATAGAGATGTTACTGGCACCCACTCGAGCAAATCGATGAGTAATGGGATGTCAAGTGATCAAATGATCAAGTGAGCATCACTTCAAAGAAATGGTCTTAGCATTAGATGGTATAAAGAACTTGTATTAAGTGTGGAAAATAATAAATGCCTATTGCTATAAATTCATAAAATTCATATATAAATAAGTTAACTAGCACTTATATATGGAAAGTTTCAAAAAAATTTAATTCTCTTAATTTTAAAGGAAGATGTATCATACATTATATATTTCATTTGTCAACGAAAAACTATACATTAACAAAGATTAGGTGACATTAAAATATAGTGCTTGTTTACACTGATTTAGGGTTTAATTCCTTTTTAATACTGTATTTTTGTTCCATTTTATTTCTCTACATATCCTCCTATTGAAATTATGTTAGATTTTTATTGAATGATATACACTTTCACTAGACAGTCATAGAGGATAGTTTGTTCGTCTGAAACAACATTTTCACTTTATAATAAAAAACATATACAA